TTCCACGAGAATCAAACTCACCATGTCAAGTGGGTCATAGCCCTTGACTCTTTGGCTTTTTGACAATATTTGGATAAGAGGAAAATAAATCCTCTTGCCCCTTGATAGACGTCTGGTTCAATATATCCCTGCATCACAGACCCTTGAGACCCTCGAAATGGTTATTAAAAATGCTATGGTATGATGTCATGATGTTTATGTACAAGTAATCATATACAAGCAAAGCAAACAAGTCCTTAGGTCTAGGCTTGCATGGAGTTCATAGGTAAGTACCCTCTTGAAGTTTAGTTGGTTCAACCTGTCCTAGAAAGTAATCGGGTTCTAGGGAATCTCAACATCATTAATCTTTCTTCATTGGACATTGCCTCAGCACAATCAATCTTTTCTTGCGGCCGAAATATCCTAAAAGTTCGATCTCAATGAGCGTAGTATCGAGTATCAACCACTCTTCAGCTTTACATAAAAATCGGCTATCTCACTACTTCCTAATGACCAAGTTGTTCAATTAAAGGTTCTACAGTCAGTTAGTGCTTCATGACACCGCTCAGTGACCCCTTATTCTCCTCATTGTAACACAAGGGATACCGGTACCAACAAATGCGTCATACTAGTAGCCATTGCTTCAACTATATTGGTCTACGTCGTACAGTTTCCACAATCTATTGTTATTTACCTAATGATGTTCCCAGATCCGAGTAGAGGATCAAAGCAAACCCAAACAAGGACCCATAAATGTAAATCAAACAAATCAAACAAAGAAAGCATTTAAAGGTGATATAGATCTAAGGTAACCCCACTTTTAAGTATTTCTCCAACAGAGTCTCCAGTTCTATAATACGGTGGGAAAACTGACTTAGTTGTTTTGCGTTTGATCATAATTATAGGAAATAACATAAACATGACAGAAATAATATGCGCATAACTTTAACAAAAACAAAAACAAAGATAATGATAATAATAATAATTGGTTTGGTTTTGGTAGACAAAGGTAATGACAATAGTCGTCATCCCCCCCAAACTTAAAGTACGAACAATTTCCTCACCGCTAGCCCGGTGGGTTATGGCACGACAGAACAAGATAGTAAATAAAAATATAAAATTAAAATTAATCATGAAATTCTAGGTAGGTTAAGTGAGAAATGCCCGTCATCCTGTCAGGCTACAGTCCAACTGGTTTTCCTCATTCCATATTTTGGGACTTTTTCTCTTCTTCTATACTTTCTCTACTTCCTTCATTCTACTTTCTTCAATCTCAGGAGGTATGACAAAGGTCGCCTCCTAAACAACAACATCCTTTGATTTCATCTTCTTTTTCTTTAGTTTTAGGGAGGACATAAAGGCGTTCCTATCCTCATTCTTTGGAACACACTGTACTAAAATCTTCTGAAGGAACAAAAGTGGAATCTTATGTGTAGGTGTCATGTCATAGGTCATATCTAGCATTTCATACATTTTTAACCAAATTGCATCATGTGACTTTGGTGGAGGCCTTATTATGTCACGTTCCCCATTGAGTTCTTTATCTTTCATGAACATAAACTTCCCAAACAACCAATCTTCCTTGATTTTATTTATCCTTTGAGGCGATGGTGGAGGTGGTATTTCTCTAAAAAAAAATCTTGATGCTCTAGATTTTGGCACGTCAGATGGTGTCTCCATAGTTGCAGGTGACATGATAGAAGACTTCAGCTTTTGCACATTTGGATTTGATAAATCATCATTTTTTTTTACAGTAATAGGTATTACTATTTCATATTTTGTTGTGTCTTCATTTTATATATCAGAGGGCTTTGGCTCCTCATACTCCCATGAGCTTAGAGTAGTAGCAATTTGATTAATTTGAGTCTCCAAATTTTTTTATACATCAAGCTCAAGTTTGAAATTGTAACTTTGTTTCTTGCATGAAAGTTTGCAAAACAAACCCCAACTAGTTGGTTCCATTAATTATCAAACTTGCATTAGGAGTAGAACTAGGGCGATTCATCCATCCTCCACAAGAAAAATCAGCGTCACATGTCATGATATTTAGTGGTCCAATAACTGTCACGTCAAGTGGCATCATAAAAGACTTCATCATGTTGTGTATTTCAACCAGTTGAATAACCAAAGTAGTGATTTGTATGACCTCTATTATGCAGAAATCAACCTACGCATGCAACACTTGTGCACACCTACTGTGTCACTAAAAGACATAAAATATTAGATGCTCAAATGTAAATTTTACAAACTTCAATGAAAAATCAAAATCTTAATGAAACAATCCCCGACAACGGCGCCATAAATTCGATGGGCTAATTTTTGTATGTGCAAGTATACACAGTCAAATTAGTAGTAAATGATAAGAAAAATATCGATCCCACAAATACTGTATTAAGCATAATGATTTTTATATAAGAAGTTGTAAAGTAAACATGAGCAAAGGTAATAAAATAATGGTATGTGTCACACGATTAAGAAATTGGAAAAACATACAAGATAATTAAGGTTTAACATAAAGAGAACGAATATGTTGGACAATGTTCCATTTAATAAATTCATCTAATGTATGCGTATGATAAGTACTTTCGTGACAGATAAGGCCAGAACATGATCTAGAGGTGTATCTATATAATATCATAAATATATACATCAAAGCAAGGAGACAAATCTCTAAGCCTCACTTGTAACCTTGGTGCATGTTTGGGTTCATTCCTAATTTCCTCAATGAGTGTAGCTCTTTATCTCTAAAGTAACTAATCTAGTGAATATCTTTATCCTACTATTTTTAACCATATTTGTCATGAAATCCACTTGTTAAATATCTCTCAACATTAACAAGTTATTATCTACTCAGACAAAGAAATAAACATATGACATAAATTCACATGAACAAAATATATCAACACAACTCATTCAAACATACAAAAGATTACTAATTCATTAAACTTCACATTATCCAACAAAACAAGTTTGACTCATAATGAGTAAAATAAGCACAACACAAAGTGATCTTAAGCTACACATTCATAAGCAAGAAGATATAAATGATAAATCTAAGGATGACACTTTAATCACTTGCAATTTGTGAATCAACAAGTGACGTCTCCAGTCATGCCTCCCAGCGACGGGAACACTAGTTCCTCGTTAATTTCACTTATGTATAATCTTCCAAGTTTCAATATATTTTTCTTCATTGCATTGCATCTTATTTATAGATTTTTCTCAACTGCGTATTATCTCTCTTTAGTTCTCGAGCCTTTACAATGATCCATTAACTTAAGACAAAAAAATAAAGCATATTCCTTTGTGTTATACTATGATAGTACACTGCATATGAGAGACAACATGACACAGTGGAAGAATTGCAACAACAACAACAATGCGACAACTTTTTAGAATTTTTTTGTAGCATTTTCATCCCTATCCATTCATTTTATCCCTTGTCTTGTAGTGTTTCATCCTTATCTACTCATTTTCTCCAACTCAACTCTGTTTTCTTCTCAAATCTCTGTCACGTCAACATTAAAACTGAAGTTGAGAGCTCATACCGAAATGTTCTGGTTCAAAGCCTGTTGGATGATGTTCAAGAATTCATGTTGTGATAGAACTCGTCACCAACGCTGATTCTGCACAAACACAAAAACACATAAAATTGACAAAAGAGAGCACCTAGTGTGCTCTATCTTAAATTAATCAAAATAACTTAAAACACAAATAAATAACATTACTCAAGATATAAATTACCCTAAAACTCAAGTATAAAAGGATTAAGTATCTCACATAAAGTGAATTATCAATAAGAATAGTGGAATAAAAGAAAGAAGTAGAGGGGAGAGAAAGAAAGAAATATAAATGAATATGAAAAAAAATGAGAAAAACAAGAAAAGAAGAAAGAAAATAGTGGAAGAAAGAAAAATAAGAGAGTGAAATAAAAAGAGCCAAAATTCATTAAAGAAGGAAACAAGAAGAAAAATATGATTTTTCTTTGCTTGAAATGATGTGAAAAAGAAAGAAAAGAGAAAATGAAAAATGACAGGATTTAAATTTAAATTATTTTCATCAAAATTCATTGATATACTAAGTCATTTAATGTTATGTATCATTGAGATGTTGACTAAGTTATTAAGAGTGTAATTTTGAAAACTTTGGAATGAAATTATTTGATCTTAAGTAATTAGTTGTTGATCACAAAGGATAAAATAAACTTGACTAAATTTGAGTATTAATCTGTGTAATTTATCTACTTAATTTCATTCTATCTTACATTTAAATAGCTTTGATCTTTTTTCACTTTTTTTCTTTGAAAACAAATGAAATGTCTATTTTTAACATATATTTTTATCTATAAAATTACACAAAATATTTCTATACGATAATTTATATGTTTTACACGTGACACATCTTAAAAAATAGATTCATATTTGAATACAAAAATACGAAAGAACGAAAAAAATATTTAAATTTAAAAGGAGAATAACAAAATTAGAAATATATTTAAATCAATAAATTTTTAAAATAAAATAAATTACATATTAAATTCTTATAATTAAGTATATAATTTATTTATTTATAAATAAAGGCTAACAGTTGTAAATTAAGTTTTCATATTTATGGTGTAAATTGACCTTTTTTTTTACTCATCTGTCCATTAAATTCCAAGTTATACCGTACGATATCTATATATGTTAAATTGGTAATAGACTAGTAGATTATACTAGTACTTTAAAAGTATTACAAGTTCAAAAATAATGGCTTCGCCCGGACTCGAACCGGAGACCTTCAGTGTGTTAGACTGACGTGATAACCAACTACACCACGAAACCAGCTTACAAGTGAAATTTATAAATTTTATATAATTTCAAATTTATTCCAATCTTCTTTATATCTCTATATTTTACTTATCCCCCTCTTCTTCTCTCGCTTCACCGAAACCCTAATCTTTCACGTTTGTTCCATTCAGTCTCAGATTCTTCTTCTTCTTCCTCTTCCTCCCTCTCGTTGAACTCTCACCACACTCCAAAATGTCTGCGGCTCTTGATATGACACTCGACGACATCATCAAGAACAACAAAAAATCTGGATCCGGTAACTCCAGAGGCCGATCTAGACCCGCACCCGGTCCTGGACCCGCTCGCCGGGCTCCTAACCGCATCTCCAACCGTTCCACACCTTACTCCGCTGCTAAGGTAACTTGCTTTTATCTAAAGTTGAATTTTTTCTCGGCTTAGATTTCAAAACCCTGATTTTTTTTTTAATTTTCTCGGTTTTAGGCGCCGGAGACGACGTGGCAGCATGATTTATATGGAGATCAGCATGTGGGTGCGGGTATTCCTGCTCAAGGTGGTCGTGCGCCTTCCATAGAAACTGGAACCAAGCTTTATATCTCTAATTTGGATTACGGCGTTTCCAATGATGATATTAAGGTATTCCATTCCCTCTCTTTTGCAGTGTTTTTTAAATTAAAATTGTGAATTTTGTATCTGTAATTTTTTTAGGGAAATTGGTCTAATGCTTTTACTAGGGTTCATTGATTCAGAGATCCATTTCTAAATTAAAGGGTATTTTAAAAAAAACAATGTTGTGGAAAAGTATTAAATAAAAATCACAGCTTTATATTAAGGTATTAATATATTACTGATTAGTAAAGCAGTATCTGGAATTTTGTTATGTCACCTGTCTTGCCATGTGAAATTGCATGACAATTTGTAAGGAGACTGGGAGTGAGAGCATGTCAGGGAGTTTTTGTTTGTGAGTAGAAAGTTGTTTTTTAAATCAATCTGGCTGAAAGTTGGTAAAATCAATCTGGCTGTGCTTAATGTCATGACTTTTCTTTTGTTAGCGCTAAACATGTTGCTTATTTGCTTGTGAAATTTAATAAACATTTTTAATGGATTTGAGTCATTGAAAATCATTAGCTTATGTCATGTTAAATAGCCGCCATAATGTAGCTGAATTTGAACTGACCGATATTGTTCTGTGAGATGCTATTTAGTACAGAATATTCTCAAATAGCATTAGCCGCTATAGTATTATTTATTGCGTAGAGAAATTTTAACCACCCGGTATTTTCTGCTATCTGCAATTGGCAACATTGGCTTATGTTCAATTTTGTCAAATGCGGATCGCAAAAACTAGTAGTTTGTTCAAATTCCACTGTGACACCTAGTCTGAGTGCCTTAGGCACGCCTTTAACTGATCTGCCTTAGGCACGCCTTTAACTACACTGATCTGTCCTCCTTCTACCCGGAACTAAAACTTAAGATGCTAGGTTTACAGGCTCTGAATTTTACAATTAATGTTTAGATTTCTATTTTCACATTATGCAGGAATTGTTTTCTGAAGTTGGTGATTTGAAACGACAAGGCGTTCATTACGACAGGAGTGGCAGATCGAAGGTATCTTGTCCATTTGCTTAGTTTGGTCATTCTGATCATTTCTTTTTGTCCTGCTATAGTTAAGAAAAAAACTTCTTTTTCATAGGGTACTGCAGAAGTAGTCTTCTCACGGCGACAGGATGCTGTTGCTGCTGTGAAGAGATACAATAATGTTCAACTAGACGGGAAACCAATGAAGATAGAGATTGTCGGAACAAACATTTCTACACCTGGCGCAGCTCCTGCTGTAAATGCCGCTATTGGAAATTTTAATGGAATTCCTCCAAGGTATTCACTGGCTTGACTGTGCTATAATGATATACTATTTCATCTGTTCTTTAAGTGAGAACCTTTGGTACAGTCTGCTTGCTTCTCGTCTGGCTACTAATTTGTGGATACTTGAATAGTGATTTTGGGTGTGCACACATGTGTGATTTAGTTTTGCTGCTATACTGGATCAAGTCATGCTTTATGATGATTGCAATCAGTCAATATCTATTATTAGTTTTCCTTGTAACCAGGAATTTTCAATCTTTAGAATGTTTGAAAGCTTTTGGATTCAATTTTCCGAGTCAGTTTTTTTCCTCATGCTGTAATTTATGTCTTGAGCAGTGGTCAAGGAAGAGTTGGAGATTTTCGAGGGCAGGGAGGAAGAGGTCAAGGCATTCGAAGAAATCGAGGACGTGGAAGAGGCAGCGGTGGAGGTCGTGGTGGTGGTCGTGGTGCCGGACGCGGTAGAGGCCGCGATGAAAAGGTATCTGCAGAAGATCTTGATGCTGAGCTGGAGAAGTATCATGCAGAGGCTATGCAAATAAACTAAAGGAGCTATCCTGTTCTGTTTTCTTGCTTTTACATCTAAGGTTATTAGGGGGCATTGTGATGGATAGCCACATGTTTATGTATTGGGAGCACTATGTTTTAGAGAAGGGAAAAAATTACTCGAAAGAAAACTGTTGCTTCATATAATGGAGTTTGGGTTTCTGTTGTCTAAATTATTCGTATTACTCAGGAATGTATGAACTATGAGTTAACAGAAGTCAGCTTGTGCACTCTAGGTTGCTTTCATTGACTTTAATAATTTGTTTATCAACAAGTGGATTAAGGAAGTGGGAGGTGGTAATCATGCTGTCGTCTATCAATGCGCAGAAAAATCTTTGGTTGCAAAATGCGGGATGCTGCAGATTTTACTCACCGCCGCTTTGTTTTGATTAAACATTTACAGTGGAATCTTCAAATAAGGTAGATTCCCCGCTACTCCTCCCACAACCCTATCTCAAAAGTAGTGATGTTTTATCTTTTATTATTTAATTTTACCTTGGCCTATGCATGTTTGATATAATCTTTTATAATAAGGTCTGTTATCTCGAGATGTTCCTATTTGTTATAGGGGAGAGTACATCTTTCATGACTGATAATTTTTGGCATACATTATTTAGCAAGATGGAATCTATCAACTGTTCTGTTACGCAGACCGAGTGTGCTGTTCAAGATTCAGGTCTACTAAAGGGGATAACACTCCCAGCTATGGAATTCCAAATGGTCTACCATTAGCGTTGGTTTTGGGACACATTCACAAATAAAGTTCATCCAGTTTCTCTTGCCTATGTTTGGAATTCCAAATGCTGGGAGAACCTGCTTCTCTTTGATTCCACTTCTCAACTGTGGTTTGGGTGACATTACATGCTGGTTATTTTCCACATGCACATGAGTTACATTGTGTGCGGTGTGTTGATTGAAGTGCTTGTTTTACTTGGATAGTTATAACTGTCAATAAAATATAAATAGTTTGAAGTGAGTGTGGCTGTTAAAACTTATGTTGTATGTGGTGTGTTGATTATATTTAAGCACCTAAAATTGTCTGTATAAGATAATAACAATGCACTTTATAATAATAAAAAAAATATATAATGATATTAGGTTTTAGGTTTTAATTATGAAAATTTCATGACCAAAGGCAGTTGAATAAAACTCAACTAAGTTTAAGGGGATGACCTTGACTAAGGCCGAACCTGAAATGTGAAGGCTAATGCTTAGAAATTAATTTCAAAGTACGACGCAGTGGACAAACTGAGCTATAAAATGATGGGGGTGGTGGTACAGTTTGTTTCTTCAACTTTTTGTATATCAAAACAATTTTGCAAGAAAACACATTGTGTGTCTAGTAGGCATGTTCTAACAATCCCCGTTTCAAGTTCCAAATTTAAATGAGAATTGAGAATTAAAATTCAAATTCACCGTTAGTAAAATCAATTTTTTTAATAGAAATATTTATTTATTTTAAAATCAAATTATATTAAATACTAAAATAAAAACAATTTAAAAAGATTTCATTCATACATTTCAATTAATTTAAATAATAAATACAAATCAAATTGTGACATATTTAATATTTTAAATTGTTAAAAATAAATATAATCTACATAATGAAATAAATCAGACGGATTTAAGAGAGTACTAGTATCTCTATTACCCATTAAGTCCCCATATTTTATAATCGGGAAAAACTCAAATTCATATTATATAAGTGTGACTTTGAGTTACACCTAAATATTTACTCACTTACATTTATATCACTTTAGTCTCTCAAATATTGTTTAGAACATTGGAGTGTTAATTTTATAGATCCCCATCTAATCACCAAGAGTCACAATCACCGTACCAAAAATCTTTTCGCAGCGGTCATCATCAACCTCTCACATGCTTATATTCTAGTATGAAATACAACACGTTATGAATTAAACCCATTCTCACCATCTTTTTGCTACTTTTGAAATATGTATTTGACATTTGTATTTAACATTTGTATGACCTATCTATCTCTTTCTTCCCCTGACATTAATTATAAACAAAATCAATTTCACATTTATTAAGGGTGGTAGTTGTTTTGGAATGAGCACATGCCGAATCAATTTTGACAAATATAGCTCAATGCACAATAATGACATATTACATTCTTTCACTAATGATATTTTAACAAAAATTTTGAGTTTATAAAAATATTTTTTAGATTTTAGAAAATAAAACATGTTTTTAAATTTTTAAATTTTAATAATCAAACACTTTTAATATACAACATGTTCCAAGAAAGTTGAAGGCTCAATAAGAATAACTAATCCATAGGTCCACCTCAACAAGGCGCTCCACTAGTTGACGAATATGTGGACTTTCACTCTTAGACATTGCAAGACTCATATTCTCATCTCAAGCAATGATATGCATTCAAACGTCCTCAAGATTCCACGCTTATCAATCGAGAATAACTCTACAAGCATTACATTGAGTCACAATTAAGTATTAACTCACTCACACTTGCAACTATTCCACCTCTTTAAAATACTATCACGAGTTGAATTATTAATCTTGCAGGTGCTCCTCTAATCACCAGAGGTTGCAACCACCGTACATAAGACTCTGTATGAATAGTTGATGTATTAGAATAATTTTGTTAGTCCTAAGAGAAGATAATTTAAAGGGAAAATAGGCAAGTAAAAAATATTGGCGCTGAACGAGCACAAGATTGCGCCTCAGGCCGCCAAAGTTATGCCTAGCCACCCAATATTCACAATAGCTCATTGGACTTCGGTCTGCTTGTCTCTCATCTGCTTATTAAAACGTGAGGAGTGATGTGTCCTCGCACACTAACATAATAGAAAATCTAGTCAATGGGGTAAATCACGTTCACCACAATTATAGGAGAAAAATAACTTTCTTACATCCCACGTTTCTGAAGGAAGAGAGAGAATAATCATTCCTTGAGTCTAAAGACCTAGCACCAAGGTCTCTATAAATATCTGAACTCTAAGGTTGAGAAGAGATCAAATTATTTCAACCAGAAAACACATATATAGAGTTTCTCATCACCTTGCATGAGCTAGCTCTAAACATCATCAATAACTCAACATCACTGATAACCCTCCAATTGCATGGAAATAGAGCAGGGTAAACTTCTTTCTCACGGTCCTTTGTGCCCTATTTAAAAATATTTGTTGGATTTTAGAATTTTAAACATTTTTGACTTTTGACTTTGAAAATCCGAATACTTTTAATATACAATATGTTCTAGACAATCCTAATAAAAATGTCCCAATTCAATGCCCCAACCCAACAAGGCACCCGATTAGCCGATAAATATGAACAATAATAACATATTAGAATTTTTCCTTATCCTAATCTTTTAAACAATCTTGCAAGATCTTAAAAATGTTTGTTGTATTTTAGAATTTTAAGCATTTTTAAGTTTTGAATTTCAAATTTCAAATACTTGTAATATACAATATGTTATAGACAATCCTAATAAAAATGCCCCTGAATTCATTAGCCCAACCCAACAAAGCACTCCATTAGCTGACAAATAAGTGAACTTTCACTTAGGAGCATCATATAGGAGCATGATCCCGTTCTCTTCTCAACCGTTGATATGCATTCAATAGTCCTTCCATATTTGATGCTGATCATTGAAAACGTTTATAATCTTCTTAGTTATATAAGTGTGACCTTGAGTCACACCCAAATATTCACCCACTTACATTTTCAACACTTTTGTCTCTCAGATATTATTTTGAACATTCGAGTGTTAATTTTACAGACCCCCCTCTAATCACTAGGAGTCACAATCACCGTACCGAAAAACTTTTTGCAGCGGTCATCTTCTACCTCTCACATACTTATATTCTAGTACGAAATACAACATGTTATGAATTAGAAACCCGTTCTTACCATCTTTTTGCTACTTTTGACATTTGTATTTGACATTTGTATGACCTATCTATCTCTTTCTTCCTCTGACATTAATTATAAACAAAATCAATTTCACATTTATTAAGGGTGGTAGTTGTTTTGGAATGAGCAGATGCCCAATCAATTTGACAAATATAGCTCAATGCACAATAATGACATATTTATTTTTTCACTCATGAAATTTTCACAAAAAATTCGAGTTTATAAAAATATTTTTTAGATTTTAGAAATTAAAACATGTTTTTAAATTTTTAAATTTTAATAATCAAACACTTTTAATATACAACATGTTCCAAGAAGGTCGAAGGCTCAATAAGAATAACTAATCCATATGCCCACCTCAACAAGGCACTCCACTAGCCGACGAATACGTGGACTTTCACTCTTGGACATCGCAAGACTCATATTCTCATCCCAAGCAATGATATGCATTCAAACGTCCTCAAGATTCCACGCTTGTCAATCGAGAACAGCTCTACAAGCATTACATTAAGTCACAACTAAGTATTAACTCACTCACGTTTGCAACTATTCCACCTCTTTAAAATACTATTACGAGTTGAATTATTAACCATGCAAGTGCCTCTCTAATCACCAGAGGTTGCAACCACCGTACATAAGACTTTGTATGAATAGTTGATGTATTAGGATAATTTTGTTAGTCCTAAGAGAAGATAATCTAAAGGAAAACTGGGTAAGTCAAACATATTGGTACTGAATGAGCACAAGATTACGCCTCAGGCCTCCCGAAGTTACGCCCCTAGCCACCCAGTATTCACAATAGCTCACCCATATATTAGGCTTAGGTCTGCTTGTCTTTCATCCGCTTATTAAAACGTGAGGAGTGATGTATCCTCACACACTAACATAATAGAAAATCTAGTCAATGAGGTAAACCATGTTCACCATAATTATAGGAGAAAAATAACTTCCTTACATCCCACGTTTCTGAAGGAAGAGAGAGAATACTCATTCCTTGAGTCTAAAGACCTAGGATCAAGGTCTCTCTATAAATATATGAACTCTAAGGTTGAGAAGGCATCAAATCGTTTCACTCAGAAAACACATATACAAAGTTTCTCATCACCTTGCATGAGCTAGCTCTAAACATCATCAACAACTCAACATCACAGATAACCCTCCAGTTACAGGGAAATAGAGCAAGGTAAACTTCTTTCCCATGGTGCTTTGTAATTGCCCTATTTAAAAATATTTGTTGGATTTTAGAATTTTAAATATTTTTGACTTTTGAGTTTCAAAATCCGAATACTTTTAATATAAGATATGTTCTAGATAATCCTAATAAAAATGTCCCAATTCATTACCCCAGCCCAACTAGGCACCCCATTAGCCGATAAATAGGAACAATAATAACATATTAGAATTTTCCCTTCTTCCAATCTTTTAAAAAATCTTTCAAGATTTTAAAAATGTTTGTTGGATTTTATAATTTTAAACATTTTTAAGTTTTGAATTTCAAATTTCAAATACTTTTAATATACAATATGTTCTAGACAATCCTACTAAAAATGTATCAGAATTCATTAGCCCAACCCAACAAAACACTTCATTAGCTGACAAATAAGTGAACTTTCACTTAGGAGCATCATATAGGAGCATGACCATGTTCTCTTCTCAACCGTTGATATGCATTCAACAGTCCTTCCACATTTTATGCTGATCATTGAAAACATTTATAATCTTCTTAGTTATATAAGTGTGACCTTAAGCCGCACCCTAATATTCACTCACTTACATTTGCAACACTTTTGTCTCTTAGATATTGTTTTGAACATTGAAGTGTTAATTTAACAGATCCCCCTCTAATTAATAAGAGTCACAATCACCGTACCAAAAACCTTTTCACAACGGTCATCTTCAACATCTCACATACTTATATTCTAGTACAAAATACAACATGTTATGAATTAGAAACCCATTCTCACCATCTTTTTACTACTTTTGACATTTGTAATTGACATATGTATGACCTATCCATCTCTTTCTTCCTCTGACATTAATTATAAACAAAACCAATTTTACATTTATTAAGGGTGGTAGTTGTTTTGGAATGAGCACATGCCCAATCAATTTGACAAATATAACCTAATTCATAATAATGACATATTACATTCTTTCACTCATGATATTTTCACAAAAATTTCGAGTTTATAAATTATTATTTTTAGATTTTAGAAATTAAAACATATTTTTAAAAAATTTAAATTTTAATAATCAAACACTTTTAATATACAACATGTTCCAAGAAGGTTGAAAGCTCAAAAAGAATAACTAATCCATAGGCCCGCCTCAACAAGGCGCTCCACTAGCCGACGAATATGTGGACTTTCATTCTTGGACATTACAAGACTCATTTTCTAATCTCAAGCAATGATATGCATTCAAACGTCCTCAAGATTCCACACTTATCAATCGAGAACAACTCTACAAGCATTAAATTGAACCACAACTAAGTATTAACTCACTCACACTTGCAACTATTTCACCTCTTTAAAATAATATCACGAGTTGAATTATTAACCTTACATGTTCCCCTCTAACCACGAGAGGTTGCAACCACCATACATAAGGCTCAATATGTATAATTGATGTATTAGGATAATTTTGTTAGTCCTAAGAGAAGGTGAAATAAAGGGAAACTGGGTAAGTTAAACATATTGGCGCTGAACGAGCACAAGATTGCGCCTCAGGCCGCTTGAAGTAACGCCCCTAGCCACCCAGTATTTACAATAGCTCACCCATATATTGGACTTAGGTCTGCTTGTCTCTCATCCACTTATTAAAATGTGATGAGTGACGTGTCCTCGCAGACTAACAGAATAGAAAATTTAGTAAATGAGGTAAACCGTGTTCACCATAATTATAGGAGAAAAATAACATCCTTACATCCCACGTTTCTGAAGGAAGAGAGATAATAATCATTCCTTGAGTCTAAAGACCTGTGACCAAGGTCTCTCTTAAATATCTGAACTCTAAAGTTGAGAAGAGATCAAATTGTTTCACCCCGAAAACACATATATAAAGTTTCTCATCACCTTGCATGATCTAGCTCTAATTATCATTAACAACTCCAAACATAACAAATAACCCTCCAGTTACAGTTAAATAAAGCAAGATAAACTTCTTTCTCACGGTCCTTTGTAATTGCTCTATTTAAAAATATTTGTTGGATTTTAGAATTTTAAACATTTTTGAATTTTGAATTTCAAAATCCGAATACTTTTAATATACAATTTGTTCTAGACAATCCTAATAAAAATGTCCCAATTCATTGCCCCAACCCAACAAGGCACCCCATTAGCCGATAAATAGGAACAATAATAACATATTAGAATTTTCCCTTCTCCCAATCTTTTAAACATCTTGCAAGATTTTAAAAATATTTGTTGGATTTTAGAATTTTAAACATTTTTAAGTTTTGAATTTCAAATTTCAAATACTTTTAATATACAATATGTTCTAGACAATCTTAATAGAAATGTCTCTGAATTCATTATCCCAACCCAACAAAGCATCCATTAGTTGACAAATAAGTGAAATTTCACTTAGGAGCATCTTAAAGGAGCATGACCCCGTTCTCTTCTCAACCGTTTATATGATGGTGGTGTTTTAATCTATATTTTCACCCAAATTCTACCTTTTACATTTTGCACCAACTTCTGTACATATTTTTCCATCCAAAAAAAATCGTATGCATATTTCTAACACTAACTATGCTACAATTCCCACATCAATTCAAACTGCATAAACTATTATCACTAACACAACCATGTTTTCAAACTGCATCAAAAATGAAACCAAAAACCACTAAGCAATACCAATGAACATAACAAAAACACAATCAACATCATCAAATTACAACAACCAAAAAGCCATGTACATAACCTGTAAAATCCCAGTCCAAATCACTAATACAATATCTCCATCACCAAAGTTTCCAACAGCCACAAAATCGACAAAACTCAAAACTAACAATAGTTCATCAGAATTTGTATAGAGTACTTTTTACAGGAAAAAGAAAAGGAAGAGGAACAAACAAGGTTTGATTCAGACGACCATTCTCCGAACAGCATCACGAATAACCGATCTACTTGCGCCAAGCACAACCCCGCCGAATCCGCGAGAGCAACACGCGTGCAACCCTTCCGTTTCCTCCGCTCAATTCGCAACGGCACCACCGGCCACCCCTCGTTATTCCGACGGCCAGCCACGCAACAGACCAGCCGCTGCCGCGCCGCCTCTCCAAACCGCATCCATTTGCGCTACCACCTGGAGCAAATCCGCCACCGATAATATTTCTACTCAATTGCGTTTGATTGTTATTGTTAAGTATTGTGGTGTCTGGAGTTTTCTTGGAATATTTGAAGATTGAATGAGAAAGGAGATGGAGAGTACAGTGTTGACGAGAAACAAAGAGATTATTGTCATTTGATTTACTTCTTTCTTTTACTGTGTTAGTATTTAGGGTTTTATTTTATTTTTTTTAAAGAAATAAGAATTTTTTTTATTAATAACCATGTATTAAAATAATATTTCGTAAATAATCGGGTTTCGGAAAAAATTACGCAAATAATCATGTTTGAGATGACTCCACAAAGGAGGAGCCATCTCAATTGGCGCATGCACCTCCTTTTTTAAGGGAGGCGCCATCTCACTTAACGCCTAAGTGCTTAGGGCATGCCCTAAGCCAAGTGAGATGGCGCCTAAGTATAATTTTAGGGTAAAATTTTTTTTTCCTGTGCGTTGGCTATTGGACAGAGATCAACAAAATTGACTTTTTATTAAAAAAATAATAATTACATTCAACTGTATTACATTAAAAGAACAGTAAAAAAAATTGATACAAAAAATACTGGAAAAAAAAAGATACATCAGTGATCCCCCGGAACCCGGTAATGACCCCCGGTTCCGCATCTCCGTCCTCGCCTTTCTCTTGCTGGGTGCCGTCGCGTTTCCTGCTGCGGCAAGGTCGATGGCCCAGCGAAGTCAATGCGGTCCGAATCCATAAATCAGTAAGATCTCCATATCTCGAAGATCCGCTCTGGTACAGTCGGTTACCCATACCCTCAAAGTTTGGTCGTGTTGGTGATCGCGACTTTATCGTCTAAATTAATCGGGAGACTGCAAGTATACAGCCCTATCGCGTAGTTTTAAAAGATATCGAACCTAAGGGACTATAAATCGAACTAACGTAACCTAAACTACTGTGTAAAGCTATAGCTATCGAATAATTAATTAGGGGAATTTTTGGGTAATAAAACTTAATTCTAATTGAAATAATAATAATGCGAATATCGGTATGTACTTCGTTAACATTAAAGAATCCGACTTTCCACTGACTTATTTTCTAAAAATGATAATAATATCTTTTTCAGCAAAAAGTATTTATTCAAAAATCTATTCTCAAACTTTCGCTCTATTGAAGTAAATTATAATTTTAAACTCTGATGTATGCTTTCGCTATCCCATTGATTTTAAAATTACTTTTTGAAAATAAATAAAGTTTAATTGGTTTTAAAACGCTGTCGCAGTCTTTAAAAACAATACCTAGTATCTACTATCTGATTTTAAACCTCAAACTGTCGCTCTATTGGTTTCTAATCTTAGTCAGTTTATTAGCCTCAAACTTTAGCTCTGTTGTTTTCTAAACCCTTTTTTAACAAAATAAATTAGATAACTAAATCAGAAAAAGTGTTTATTTTATAAAATATAATCAAGCCTGTTTGTTCCGGATCCATTCAAATTAACTCGTTACATACCGATATTTAAATAATTTAGCCAGACATACTCATAAAAGCAGACATGAATACATTAAAGGAATTAACATTCGTAAACAAATTCATGGCTAAATAAATATCTCTCATGCAAATAATTAATTAAATAAATTAAAGCGATGTAAATAAGAAACCTGAATTAAATAAATGCTGGAAATAATTCTTGAAGCTTGAATCAATTCGTACAAAATCTCGGTTCTTCAACAGAAATAAAATTTAAGTATTTGAAAAGGAACTGGCTGGAAAATAACTGCTGGAAACTGAATTACAATGGAAAATAATAATGCGGGAAGGTAAATTCTGAAACTGGAAAATAATGCTAAAAAACGGCCCCCTTTTTTTGATTTCCTGATGTCCTTTTATAGTGGTAGAATGTAACCACGTTTTGAGATATTTTCGTACCACTTTTCCCCAAATTTCTCGTTCTAACTGCTTTGAGTGGAGGTGGTCGTCCCTAGATTTACTCATCCACTTGACCACGTTGAGACGGGAGCCTCATGTATCATCCTAGGGTCTACGTGGCAGTTGAGACGGACGCCTCCCACTAAGGGGAGGGTCCGAGGCGGGCGCCTCAATTGTAGGAGAAGAGTTGAGACGTGCGTCTCACTCTTGCACGTGCCTTTAGGGCTCTCTTGCTTGCGTGGGCCTGATTTCGTTTGGGCCCAGTTTGGAGATAATAAACCTTTTGATCTATCATTTTTGCTTTGCACACCCCTTTTCTTCATTTCTTGCATATTTAGTCCAATAACTCTCTTAATTTCTTCACTTTGCTCAATTTGTCTATTTAAAATAAAATACCTGAAACAATAAAAATACCGGCGTAATATGGAAATAAAATGAAATAGTTAAATAAAAATACTAACATTATTTATGAAAATTAAATCAAATATACTATATAAAATTGTGTTATCAAACTCCCCTATACTTGAACCGTTGCTTGTCCTCAAGCAAAAGTAAAAATGAAAATCACTGACGCACAGTCAAACACAGATATAAGAACATACATCACTTTGTACCAGGTTGCAAGTTGAATTTTTCGTTAGAGAATTTAAGTCGAACTTAAACACCAAAGTTACCGTAGGAACACTGGACAACCCCATTTAAGCAGACCAATTTAAGTCATGTCATTATAGCTTAACCTAATACTACGTTTTATTTCACCCGTTTTCATTCTAGCGCAATCACATTAAGCCCTTTACCTTACACGCACATAGTGGAGTAACTGGTTAGTGAATTTGATCTTAGTAAGCCAGCTAGGAGTTCTGGTAATTTAATCATATGGTACTCCCTTTTTCCAATTAAAAATTGCGGGGGATCGAACCGTAATTCGCCCTACCAAGTTCAGCACCAGGGACCACTGAACCAATTTATAATGGATTATTTTGCATTTAAATTTATAGTTTCTGCAACTGTTGGATTAAATGATCTGGTAAGGACCATCTAACTTAATAAGTGCATCTTCAGATAAAAGCAATTTCTTAAGAATATTTGATCAATCACTTATATTCATCAGCTCTCCATGTAGTTTGTGTTTATGGCGGTGCCGACTGCTTAATAAACTACTCAGGGCTAATCTAAAACTAAGTTTTAAAGGTTTTGGTATAATAAGTACTTAAATCGATCCAACACATCGGGGGTTTTGAAGTGTTAAGACGATAGCAATTTTGCTAAGTTGCTCGAATTCTTATTTATAATAGGCAACCTTAATACTAGTTGAATAATGTTTATAAATGCGTGTTAAATTTTTTTTATTTTATTCGTTATGGCTCAAGAAATAGGGGGAATTCGAGTAAGCACAAATTTTTGCATAAGAGATTAAAATTTGCATAAATAAGTATTTTATTGAATTAAAATTTTTGCAATACAAGAAAAGAAATAAAAGGAAAAATACTACAAAGAGAGCAAAGGAAATAGAAATGAACAAGGAAATGATCTGACTCCCCTATACTAAAGAGGAGCAATGTCCTCAATGCGATAAAAACAAAGGAGAATCAGATGAAAAGAGAAAGGCGATCACTCGTTGCTTTGAGAATCATGATCTCTTGTTCTTCGTCCTCTAGTACGAGGTCTTCGTCGTACGTCAGAATTAGAATCATTAAGATGAAGTGCGTCTGCTATGCGAGCTTGCAAAGATTCGAGGTTACGATCATGGCGGAAGGCATATTCTTGTTGTTCGCGTCACATCTCTCGTTGGTCACATTGTACTTCTTGTACGAGACGTAAAGTCTCAGCTTGGTTTTGTTGCATGGCATGGAACAACTGATCTTGACGAAGCATATGAGCCTGCATAGCTGCGAAATTTGCAGCAGGATTATTTGGTTGTTGGGTGGCAGGTGCATCAAGAGCATAACGACGATTGGCGCGGACTCGGACGTCGATACGATTCAGACAAGGTAACACAAAATCAGGAATTTGACGACGATTTATCACTAATGTAAACCGGCCATCATGTCTTGGAGAGATTATATGGGAGTCTCGGCAATAGATGACATCAAGAAGAGTGGATGGCATCATATATTGTAACAAAGAAAATAGCTCGGCGGAAAGGCCTAAAGCATATGCTAAAGATGTGATGATGCCTCCAAAAACAAAGGGATTAGTACCTGCTGCGTTCACGCATGTGTGGATGTGACTGAGCAGGAAAGGAGCGACGTTGACAGCCTGACCATTAAGGGCACAGAAAATGATGAATAGCTCATTTTGGTTGACCTTGTGATTATTGGTCCGACCAAAGATGGTGTTAGCAAGAACGCGGTGAAAGTACCTTAATGCAGGGTTATGTATTTGAGAAGCATAGAGGTCGCGCCAACTTTCCGTGGTTTGACCGGTTAGATCATTCCATAAGGAGAAGCCGACTTGATCCCAAGAAAGATCGTGGTCATCGTCGAAAGGCTTGTAATGAACATGCTCGCCGCGAGTGAAAGATAAGAGTTCAGCGACTCTTTCTTGATCAAGAGAGTACTCTTGGTTAAACATGCGGAAGTTGGCGGTTCCGGTTGTGTAGGGATCGTCGACAGGTGTTGTGTAAGAGAAGGAACTAAGAAATTCAAGCACGAGTGGTTCATAGGTTGGACATGGGTTTGTGCAGAGACTGGTTAAACCGGTGTTATTGAGCATGAATACGATGCTATCGGTCATTCCTAAGGTTTCCAAACACTCCGAACTTACGTATTTTGTAGGAACGACAGAACGGGTATAGAATTTTTTATACTTTTGTTATTGTTGGTCATCGTCGTTATCGCGAAAAATGATATTGGATAGGTCGGGTGGTGGTCGGTCGGGCTTAACTTGTCTTTGGTTGTTTCGTGGAGCCATAGATGGATATGGGTTGAAGAAGGGAAAAGGTAGAAAATATGGGTGTAGGAGAGGAAATGGTAGAGATGGTTAGAAATGTTGTGAAATGAGAAAGAAGGATGAAGGGTATTTATAGTGGAGTGAGAGTTAAGAGTGATAAATTATAATAAGTGGGTGTTGGAAAATGGGAGGGAAAATATGAATGGGGATTAATGGTGGGAAGTGGAAAGAATATAATTTGAATGAAAATAAAGAGTGTTGAATTTGAATTAATTGGGGCTAAATGGGAAAACGAAACGGACAAGACAAGTAAATGCAAGGGAAGACCAACTTTTACTTTGCACGAAACACATGCTGAGGCGACCGTCTGACACAGGAGACCACGCGT